CGTATACGTAGAGACTATTATTGAACTCTAGATGCACGGTTAAAAGTATAGAAAAAAAAGATATATATATATATATATATATACATATATAACTTCGTTAGTTGCATCCCAATGGCAAAAGTTTCGTAGCTTTGAAAAGGTCGAGCTCGAGCTCCGTGTAATGTACAGAAAGGAATCAGGAAATTGGCCGATGATAAAAACTCAGCCCAACATTTCATGCATGCTGGTAGTGCCATCGCCCATCTTCTTCAAGTCCCTCTTGAGACCGGAGGGTTTTCCAATTTAGAAAAAGATCATTACAAACTTGTTAAGAAACAGAAAACTAGGTGAAGAATGAGGAGACAATTACTAGTGAATAAAAGTAACGAGACAAACTTATTCTTCTTCCGGTGTCTTGAATGCTATGCCTTTGATTACATGGCGGCACTGAAACCTGTAAGAATAATCTGCATGTAAATGACTTCTGATCTGAACAACTTCTAAAGCAGTGAGGAAAAGGGAATTCTCATATGCTCTAAAGAAATCTAGGGTAAGAACATTGAGTGTTTTCTAAGAACATGGAAATGAACAGTTTAGCATCAATAGATATTGATGTTTGTGTGGCATTATTCCTGAGGTGAAATATAAGTACCTTTGTACATTAATCAATTATATGGAAACCACCTTCACCATAATTTAAATTTCTGAATTATAACCCGAACGCTCTGAGAATCGCTTTGTTCTGATTTTCAAATATCTAAATGGAGAACTCAGGAGTCAAGAAGATACCAGTTCTTAAGATGACAGATCACTAAAGGACATTGTTCTTCCAAAAGTGGGCTCATTCGGTACTTCCTGCCTACTGTATATTTCACTTTCCCTACAAATTAGAAGGGGACTATTTCTTTCTTTATTTAAAACTACACATGGATCTATAGCAGTCAACAGTAGCTATGAAGTAAAAGCGACAGATGCAAAGGAGATGTCAACTTCCATACCACATCAGTTCATTTGATGTAGAATCTTTGAAATCATGGTGTCTGTCTGGATTCAAACCACAATCAGTAGGATCACTGTCCATTCCTTGGGTTCTGCACTTAAACCGCAGTCTGAAAGGCACAATCTGCAAAGGACACAAGAAACATTAATTTCCTTCTTAATGAGGCTGCAGGAAAAGGGAAGTAAGCACATGCACATAACAGTAGCTGCATCCAAAAACCATATGGTACATGCAATCATAGTAACTTCAGGAATCAGGATTTCAGTTTCTGCTTTTTGCTCATGAGAAGTGACATCAGTAGAACTGTAAGTATAGAACAGACAATACTGGTAATATATGAAATTGTACAAGAAAATAGATTTGAACTTTAGGAAAGGAAGATCATCATTAAGCAGATTATCCATTGAAATAAGGCTTTATAACATAGAACTCTTGTAAACAGTAATGGTAATTTATTGAGGTTTCCTTAAGAATAGAAAAGATTTAAATCAAAAAAGTGACAAAGCATACAACTTCTGCTGCTCAATCACTACCTTTTTGCTGTATCTGAAGTCACGTTTTGGAAGAAAATGCAGAGGCAGATTGAAAGACAAGGGAGCTTTGACCAACAGAAACAACTTGGAAGGGCCTAAATTAAAAAAAAAAAAAAAGACAGAATATTATCACCTTAACTTTCAACAGATTAATTCTCCATTATAACATAACATCTCAGCTAACTACCTGGATAGGAACTAGAGCCAGCACCATTTGAGATCAATGCTCTAATAGCCTGTCAAAGAAATAATAAGTATGTCTTTGAAAAGTATTCAGCCTACAATGCGGCTAGAAATAGAGTTTGTGTACCTTCCTTGAAAGCCCTTCGGCTGTTCTGCTTTTAGCGAAATCAGCGTGGCTGATGGTACCACTGCCAGCACTTGTGTGTGAAAAAGTCATCTCATATACATGTTGGGGTCGAATTGGACTAGCTCCCAGAACCAAAATAACCTCTTGGATGCTAGGAATCTCACTTATAATCAACTGCAATGCAGTTTCGAGACTAGAAATTGTATTCATAAACTTTTGCAGTCTTCTGATCCCTTTTTTAACCTCTCTCATTCTTCCCATGTGCTGTCTCCGAAGGGATGCCTTTACTTCAGTTTGTTTAAGATTGTCCTCCTATAAAGACAATACTAAGGGTGAAAGAAAAAAAAAAGCATAAAATGAAGAAACTGCAATTTGGTTTTGCGCAGAAAACATACCAACTCTTTATACTCGGTTTGCATTTCACTAAATTCAAGACTAATGTCCTGCAAAACGCTGAGGTAAATGATTTTAGAACCAACTTGAATCAAATTGAATGGTATTCACAACTTCAACCTGCCAAATTCAAACATTTTCTAGACTCTTTTGAATGCAACGGAATGAAATGCACATACATAAGATGGGCAGGAAAACCGCACATCTTTAAAGTTCACAGCTTTTTCCTCTGAAACAAAGGGTATAGGACTCTTGGGAATAACTGACTCACATTCACCAAAAACCTCGAAATATATTAAATTTTGTAGCTGATTTATTCTGATTTTTGATAGATAGGAGAATCCAATCAAACTTTTTCTGAATTTTGATTTCCTTCTTTTCAATTCT